AAATTTGTTGAAGAAGAATTCATAATTTGTGTCTGAGCATTAAATTCTGATCTTGCTCTATCAGCACCCATACTAAGAATATTAATATTACTTTCATATGCAAAATCTAATACAATATGAAGAATATTAAAGATTTGGTTTGCAGATTCATCACCTTTAGTAGGCAAAATAGCAATTGCCATTGGAGGTATTTTCTAATTGGAATCTAATATAATTAATATTTAATAATAAATATTATAAAAATTAAAAGATAGTCAAATAAAAATTACCTTAAGAATAATAATACAAACTTGTATTGCAATTGCATTTTTTTCATGAATGTATTGTATTTTTGCATGTATATCATCAATACTAGAAACTGAAACCTCATTTGAAGGTAAAGTAAATCCAGTAATATAACCAAGCTCTTGAGAGTATACTAGCTTAAGACGAATCTTTGTACAATCAGTCATTAATAAAATTGGTCCTTTTTATTTTAACTCCTTTGCTATATTCGCAAATTTAATTACATTTTCTAGAATTAAATTAAGATCTGTAATCAATTCAGTATTTAAAGTACGTATTTGACTTTAAAAATAAATTAAAATATAAAATTAATAATTTTAAATATATAAAAAATTAAAGACAATAAGTACATACTGAGTTCTTTGAATAGACATTCCTCCTAATGCCTTGTGAAAAATTTCATATTCACGACTACTTTCAGATAATAAGCTAAAAAAATGTATAAGATGTTTAGAATATCGCAAGCCTTTCATACTAATACCTCCATCTTCTTTTTTTTTAATTTGTAATATTAAGGCAGCTAATTCTGTAAATATCTTTTCACCATTAAAAGAACTATTTATACCCATTTGAGCTAAAGAGGCCTACATTGCAGAGTCATTATTATTTGTATCCATACAGGTCCAAAGATTTCTAAGATTTGCATTTGTCAAAAGACAAACCAAAGGAGTATCAAAATAAAATTTTGATATATATTGAATTGTCAATGGCATTACACGTTTCTTATATTAAAAAAAACTTTAATTTAGCAACATTCTTTAGCAAATAAAAGGTAGATACAATTAAATTACAACTTTTAATGCTTCTTTTAATCTTTTATTATTTGTAATTTATCACATTCGTTACATAAGCCTGATAATTTTGTTGTTATGATGTGATATACAATTTATACTTCGTATTACCTTTCAAAATGATCTATTTTTCAGATAGCTGTTGCTTGTAATACTGTATTAAATTGTTGAGTTTGATCTTTATTAAGTTTCTTATGAGAAAAAGGAATAGCTTGTGAAAACTTCTCAGGAAAAAGTTCTTTTCTAACTACTTCAGGTCTTTTTCTGCCACCAAAATAGACTGGAGTACTAGTAGCATATTCTGTATATAAATTACCAAATAAACCAATACAAGGTAAAGGTTCATCTAATTCAATTTCATATCTTGGCTTTAATCAAAAAAGACAAATAAACTTGACTGTTGTTCAGTACCAAGAATGCAATTTTGGCTTTTAATATGTCTTTCAAAATTTATTGTTTTAAAGGGATGTTTTAATCAAATTTCAACTCCACATTTACATTGAACAGTGTTGTCATTTATCATTTTATCAAAATTTGTAAAAGATCTAAAATGAGAAATATGAGTATCAGCAGTTGATTTTTGGGTGCGAGTTGGTAGCATTGTAAAGTAATAATGAGTAAAAAATTTAGAAAGAAACAAAATTTACTTTACATGTGTGAAATTTATTTTATATACTCTGTAATCGAACCATAATTAAATATTTATCAATTATTCCTATCTTTAAAATTTAAAGAATTTTTTAAAAAATTTTTTTTTGTTTTTTATCCGTCAAATACAGCATATATATATATATAGTACATATAAAATAATATATATGCGAACCATACTATATACAGTAACTTATTTATATATTAAGATTTGCAAATCATCCAGAAGCGGTAATATGAATTAACACAAACTGCAAAATACTGTAACATTTTATAATATCATATGAATGCGAATCATATCTTTTCGATAACGCTTTTTAAAATCTATAAGCTTTCGAACCATCTTTTGTAGTAACCCCTATTAGAAGTTTTCCAGGTCCTGTTTTTACGCCTATAAAAGAAGTTAGAATTATTAATTTAACTTTAATCAGCAAATAATAATATATTAGTTGCAAATATCCAGATTAATCTAAATTACTTAAAAAAAAAATTCTTGAAATCAAACATTAACTTTCATTATTGTTTGAGAAAGAAAAAATGGTGCTTTTTATTGTAAGCATATTTATATACGCATCTGTAAGTCAATTTTATTTCAAAAAAGTTACCACTTTACTTTACGTATACTTAAAATTCTGAATCCTATCATATTATACGTTTAGGCCTCTCTTTCATTAATTATTTGTATCATTTTATGATAAATTCCTAATATTTTTTATACTACAATACCAAATAATAATTTTTTTTTCGAAAATGTAATTTAGACGTGAATAATAAAAATATCAAATCCAACGGAATATTATGATGAATCTATATATTTAATAAACGAATCATGAAATTATTCATTTATTGAATAACTTAATTATGAATAACTAAAATAAATTTATAATAATTATTTTTTTTCTTTTTTTGACTGTTTGTATTGCAATTACAGTATTTCTATGAAGCCTTACTTTATTAAACCGTTAGATAAGATAAGAACAGTTAAATAAATATTAAAATATTAAAAATATTAAATAAAAAAAATATATGAAAATTATAAGTTAACAAAAATAATAATTTAGTAAATAAACTGTATCAAATATGAAATATCTTATTAAAACATTAAAAAGAAACTATTTATAGCTCCAGGCCTAGTATTTTATAAACGTTCTTGTTTTTTTATTTTTATTGCGTAAGTGCGTCAGACTATTTCATTGCCACCCCGTATCCTCCTCATGAACGCCTTTTAAACTTTATAATTTTGATGACACTAAAATTTTACACCGATTAATGGTTTAATATAACGCATTTTTGTAAAAAAAATGCTGTTAAGCAACAAAAACCTCATTTGGTTTTCTAAGTATAATTTCAAAAAGTATGCGGCGCATGTGCTAATTTTTGTCGATCATTTCCATATATCTCTAAACTCATGTGTTGGTTGTGTACATTTTATTTATTTGAACGATTTGTTTTCTTTCCATTCTCGAACTCGATTCATTAAATTCTCGTTAAAAAAATTTTAAAAATTTTTTTTTTATTCACTATCAGAACAAACATTATGCTTACAGCTTTTGTCAAGAAACTCGATGTGACTGATGATAAATTTCTCAGACATTCTGATAATTTTTTGTTTTCCTTTATGAGTCTTCAGTTACGTGAAGGTATGAACTAATTTTACCTTTACAGTTCTTCATACCTATGTGACTAATACTTTTCTGAAGAATATATTCTACTTGCAGTTCCTTAGCAAAAACAAAGAAAAAATAAAAATATTCCTTCTGTACGTGAAAACTTGGGAAGGAATGCAAAGCTCTTAGAGTAAACGATTTTTGCGAGAGATAAATGATTTGGGAAAAGTCGTGATGAAAAGGTGAATATGTATTTTTTTTAAAATAGAAGGGCAGCTCCTGACGAGTAAATCCTGAATAGAATATGAGTGAAATCTTAGTTCCACTATGCGCGTCCCATATTCCTTCTGCTCTTCATACATATTCATAAACTAATAAAATCAATTACTCATGTTTTTATAAAGGTCAAGCTCGAGTTCAAAAAGAAACTACACCTGCAGACATTATTTACATAAATAATTAACCAGCGTCATCAGGTTTGTTCCTGGAAAATAATCCTGTTCTAGGAAATATGTTCTACAACTTATACAATGTTTAATGTGTTATAATAATAGATTTCCATCAAAAATACGCTTGATGGTGATAGCTTACAATTGATAGAGAAAAAATCAGTTTGTAAATGTATGTCATTACACTTTTGAAGGTCACATCCCTTAATATAAATAACTTTCAACTCCAAACAATTTATCACGAATAGGATTATCTACAAATACCTGAACACCAAATATTTCCACCAGAACATAACCGATCTGAATATTATGAAGAAGATAGTATTCAAACTCCTGAATATTTTAGTGTCAAAGATATAAATGTACACTAGGTGGAAATAAGTTTGCGCGATTTTTAAAAAAATTATTTATTATTATCATTTTTTTTAAAAAAATATTAGTATCTAGTTGGCCAACCATTATTAGCGATACGTGCTTCTACTCTTTGAGGCATACTATCAATTAATTTTAGGCAAGTTTCTTGTGATTTTTTTCCCATTCTTCTTTAAGTTGTATTTTTAAATCTGCAAGATTTTTAGGAAGATCTGAACGGTTACACAACAAACGGTCAAAATGATCCCAAAAATGCTCAATAGGATTTAAATCTGGAGATTGAGCAGACCAATCAGTTAACATTTTAATTTTTTTTCAGCAACCCATGCTTTAATATCTTTTGCTGTATGAATGGATGCATTATCATATTGAAATTTGTAAAATCGATTGCGAAACTTTGAATTCACAAATGGCAAAAGGTAATCATTTAAAATTTTTATATAATCATAACCATTAATTATTCCTTCTATCCTTGCCAAAGGACCCAATCCTTTGCCTGAAAAACATCCCTAAACTATGACTTCACACTACCATGTTTAACTAATGGATATCCAAACCCGACAAGGACCATCATTACGAAAAAGATTAAACTTTGATTCATCACTCCATATGACATTTCTCCATTGTTGCACTGTTCAATTTTGTTTTTTTAAGCACCATTCTAGTCATTTTTGACATTGATTTTCATTCAAAAGTGGCTTTTTTGTAGCTCAATATTAATTGTATCCAATTTAATGCAAATTCTTTTAAATTGTTTTAGTACAAACATTTTGGCCGGTTTTTACTATAAATTTTTTTTGTTGAAACTTTATTGTTTTTATTAACAATTTTTTTTTAAAATTTTACAATTATTATCAAGTAATGGAGTACAACCACTTCTTTGCTTGTTTGTCAAATCATCTGAATTTCCATATCATTAATTGTTGTCCTAACTGTAGAATCCGATCAATTCATAATTTTGCAAATATCAGCATTTCTATGTCTGACCTTATATAATCTGATTATTTGTACTCATTCAATAATGCTAAATTCAGTATTTATGCTCATTATATTATTAATAACCTAATTTTTGTGATCGGCTTTTTGGTTGATTGCAAATTTACATTAAAGATCATGATATATACATGTATACGTCCCAATCTTAAATTATTTTTATTTTATATGTGTAACAATAACAAATGAACATGTAAACAAGTAGAAGAACTTTCAATTGGTACTAAAATCAATTGATTCCACTTAGTGTATGTTTATTACACTTTCGACTGGTTAGGATTCTTAATATAAGTAAATAACTTTTATCTCCAAGCAATTTAACATGAGCAGGATTATCCACAAACACCTAAACACCAAATATTTCTACCAGAACATAACTGATCTGAATATTATAAAGAAGATAATGTTTAAGCTCCTGAATTATTTTCTTCGGTAAGTCAAATTTGTTAAATTATATCATAAAGTTTATTTGAACTATTACATAATACTTTCCAAATTATAGGATGCTTCTTTAGAATCCAATAAATCAATTGAGGTAACTCTGCTGGTAATGTTTTTCTTATTTGTTTTAGTTTAATTTATATAGGCTCACTTCTGATATATATTGTATTATTGCTTTTTTAAGTTAAATGATGATGAAGATGATGATAATGAGTTCAGAACCAGAGATAAAATTTTTTTCATGTAAAGGTAATAAATATAATATATATATAGTTTTATATTCCCATTCAATTAAACTAATCATTATTTAAATATAAATTTGATACTTTGCAAAACCTAAAGAAATGGAGACTTAAGTCTGAAAGGTTTATCGAAAATATACTTTATCAACTTGAAATGATATGCTGATATTATAAATAAGAGTTATATGATGTGTTTGTTTCTTCTATTGTTTCTTAATTTAATTAAATTTTTGGCTTTTAGTCTAATTCACTAATTTATCCTTGATCCTGAGAATACTTTCATTAAAAATGCATTTACAAAAAAAGAGATGAAAGAGATAACAGCGGGCAAGATCTACCAGAGATCAATGATAAAATTCTTGAATATAAAAACACCTTCTCCAAGGTAAATATGTCTTTAATTTGTATACTTGCCCATTTTGCTATAATTTGTAAGCTAATAGATGTCTATTTAGACCTCTACTACAGAATTAAGAAAAGCATTAAACACTCCACATCCTTGACTTAAAGCCAGCTTCAATCCATAAGTGGATTTTGTTTACAATCATATAAGGATAACAGTGGCTGATTTGTAAGTAACAAAGAAATTTTGTTGATTTATTTATTACTTAGCTCTTGTAATAGAATAATATATAAGTATTGTACAGGTTACATTTTTATAAGAAGCAATCTAATCCACTTACTTTTAATATATCAGAAGCCTAGAATCATGTCAATGTTTGGATAACTGATATTGCTTTTTCTGATACACCAGCCACTTACATTATTAAATAAGTAAAATACAATTTTTTGATAATATAATTGATTATTTAACTTTTTTTAAAAAAACTAAAGGTGAAAAGGCTAAATTAGTCTGTTCTAAAAGAAAAAACTGATATAGAACTTTGCTGAATATTGGACTAATACAATAAAAAGCAATTAGAAAGAAAGCGGATGTATACATAAGTATAATTAGATCTATATCAACTGATTGGATTGCATTAAAAGCAGAAGTGAAGTGAAAGAATGTGCATAGTACAAAACTTATAAAGGAATCTGAGCTGAATTTGCCAAGAATCTTAAAAGATATTTTCATAAATCTTGCCAGTAAGGTCAATTTTGTAGAAGAAAAGATGAGGAAGATGAATGTGATCAGTTTTGTACATTCAGGTTAGTATTTCTTGAAATTTTTCATTGAAAATCTCTTAAATTTTTAATGGATGTATTATTTTTTTAAAATAGTATAATATTAATTAGAGATTGGAACTAGCTAAAAGTTTTTTAACTGGTTAATTAATTGGTTAAAATTAACTTAATCAGTATTATAAATTTGGTCAGAGTTAGACAATATTTTGTTAATTATAAAAATCTTAATTCTGGTCAAAAATTGAATTTTTGTTAAATTTAAATTCATCTATTTTAATCAATTAAAAAAAATTTTAACCGATTAACATGTTAACCATTTTAACTGGTAAATTTACTAGTTAAAAATTAATCAGTTCTAATCTTTAGTATTGATTAGAATAAATTTAGACTTTCAGCATATGTGTATTAATATATAAGAGGATGTCCACTTGAAATCTATGCTGATATAATAATTTTAGTAAATCTTTAGATATATTAGTTGAAATAATATATTCTAAAGTAAGTATCTCTTGTATAATTCTTACTTCTCCTGAAAAGGTACTTGAAGTTAATTTCTACTTTAGCTACTAGTTTTTTAAATGATAAAGGTTATCAATAATTCCTTAGATAATCAAAGTAATGTAATGAAGTAGAAAATACAAGTGAAATCAAAATGATCAGCTTTTGATACAATATCTGACATCCATTTATCTTCAAGGAAAAAAAAAATAAGATAATATATAATAATAGAAATTTATTACATTATTATTATAGAATTATATGTTTTCTAAAAATTAAATTAATTCAATACTACTATATTGTTTGGAATTTCAAATATCAAGATCAAAATTAAGCATTGCATTAAAATTTATTCAATTTTAACATGAGTCACCAAATTTTTTTTTGTTTAAAAATTTAAAAATTTTATTTAAAATTTTATTAACCATTGCCTTATTCAATATATCATACAGTTCTGAAATTAGAATAAAAAACCATCAAATTAATATAGATCTGAAATAAG